AATTCACGAGTACCCGACTCGCCCCACACATATATATGTTTTTTATTTTTTTTATTTTTATACACATACTATAAAATAATAATTTAGAGCTAACTAAGTAATTTTATTGAACAAATTGCATTACAAATATGAGAGACTATAGTTTATTTACAAGATTCATTTGTAGAGATCATAATCTTATATTTTATAGAAAAGAATTTAATTAATGTGGAACATATATTTTAAAAAGTATGCTACTTATTTCAAACTTTTATTAATTTTGAATTCTTTTAATTTTTTTCCTTTATCTTGTATTCTCTTCGCATGCTTGGTTTTTGGTGAGGGACTTTTTTTTGAGAAAAAATCTTTATTAAATTTTAGATGAATGTATAAAATATAAAAATAAATTAGTATAAATCATTTTTTTAAAAAATTAAATGATAAATGATACGGGGCGGGGCGGGTACCCATTGACCCAATTCTATCTTAGCGGGTACCTTATAACCGGGTACTAGTTGATATGCGGGGTGGGTAAGGGTCAGAAAATAGCTGACTTGCAAGGTGCAAGTCGGGTCAGCCAAATGGTGAATGTCAGGAGTAGGGGTTTACTTGAAAAACTATAAAACTGCTAGGGGCTATTAGTGCAATTACCGCGTGGAGCCAAAAGTAGTTAGAGGAAGTTGTAACAGAATTTGGAAAAGTTAGTTAGTTAGTTGCATGCATTATACTACTGCTACTGGCACCGACTTATTGAGTGTATAAAACTCCAAAATGTGTAGATATCTGATAAGAAAATTTATGCAATCATTCTTCCAAAATCCAATATTCTGTCTATTCCGTCCCTTTCTCTCTCTCTCTCGCTCTCTCTCTCTCTTAGTTTCTTTTTCTTCTTGGTTCATCTTCCTGCCAGCCATTTCTGTTAATTCTTCCTTGATTCCCCAGGGCCTGACAATTAGTATCAGAGCTGACCGAACCTTGGACTGCTCTTGGAATTGCAATGGTAGAGAGCACTCGCTTCAAAACACTGGAGGATCATCGCAAGAAGCAAGAGCTCAAGTTGCAAGAAGTGATGGATGATGTCAAAAGTATACAGCTGCAAGTGAAAGAGGAAATGGCAGGAAGGGATCAACGGATGGATTTGATCGTTATTGGAATGGAGCAGAAATTCAAGGCACTCAGTTCAATGATGAAGACATTGCTGGTCAAGGAAAAGAGTGTGAATGGAGAGGATAAGGCTAGGAGAGATCGAACACCATTACTGCCAACACCTCCCAGCCATTAGAGGTTGGATTTGGGAGCAGAAACTGAAGCAAGGGGCTGCAAATTCTTGGGTAAGATCTCAGGCCACTCTCTCCTTAAACATGAATTGCACATGTTCCGTGGAGAGAATCCACATGAATGGATCAGGAAATGCAACAAATACTTCATGTTGCATAGGATCCAAGAGGACCATAAGTTACTGGTGGTGGAAATATTTCTAGAAGGGAAGGCTGATGTATGGTTCCAGGGGATTAAGTTGGAGAAACCGAGACTGACGTAGGGCGAATTTGAGGAATTACTTTGCCAGAGGTTCAAGGGGACTTATTGTAGGGACATTGTGGAGGAGTTCAATAAATTGTAGCAGACAAGCACAGTAGAGGTTTACCAGGAAAAGTTTGAAGAATTAAAGACATTGATGCTGATTCAGAATCCCAACCTGAGTGAGGAGTACTTCATTTCCAGCTTTACAAGTGGCCTCAAGGAGGAAATTAAGCCTATGGTAAAAATGCTTAAGCCAAACACCCTTTCTAGAGTTATAGAGATAGCTCATCTGCAAGAGTAAGCCCTTAAGTTGTAGGAGAAGACAGTGAAAGAAGGTAATAAAGTGATAGCAGAACCAAGGTTTGGGATGCACAGGCACCCTATAGCTGTGAATGGGGAGGGGTCAGCACTTACAAACTACCCCAGAACAATACACCAAAACTAGAAATCAAGAAACCTAAGATTAAGAGGTTGTCCCCACAGGAAGTGCAATATTGAAGGAATAATGGTTATGCTTTAAATGTGGAGAGAAGTTTGGAGTTGGATATCAGTGCAGGATGAAACACTTGAACTTCATGCTTTATGAAGAAGATGATGATACAAAGTTCCAAGTTGCCTTGGGAGAATAGGATGAGTTAACTGGCAACCCAGGGGAGCCAGTAGAAATATCCCTGAATGCCCTCTCAGATTCCCTCATATGAATACAATCTTATTGCAAGAACAATTAGCAGGAGACAATATTAAAATCTTGGTAGACATAGGGAGCAGTGATAGTTACATCCATCACAAACTTGTATCTGCACAGGGGATTCCATTTGAGTATGTTAAACCTTTCACTGTCACAATGGGGGATAGGAGTTTGGTAACCAGTGGAGCTCAATGCCCAAAAGTCCTATGGAATGTCCAGAATTATGGGTTCTGTTCTCACCTCAGAATTATGGAATTAGGTAACTGGGACCTTGTTTTAGGAGTAGTGTTTTGTTTTAGGACCAAAGTTACCTTGTTTTAGGTAACTGGGACCTATGGGTCCATGTTCCACCAAGGGGAGGTTGTCACCTTACATGGAGCAGTGAATGATGCAACTATGGAATTGGTCAGAAGAAAGGACCTCAGGGGATTCTTGCAAGCTAAAGGTCGTGTTGTGCCACTTCAGCACAAGTTGGAAAGGTAATTATAGAGGGGACACCAGAGTTAATCACAGCAGTGTTGGACCAATTTCCAGAGGTCTTTCAGGAGCCTGCTCAGTTGCCCCTTAGCAGGAGCTTGGATCATCAAATTCCTCTAAAACCTGGGGCACAGGCATTCAAAATGAAACCATACAGGTACTTTAGTTCACAAAAAATAGAAATTGAGAGATAGATACCTGACATGTTGAAGTCTGGAATCATTAAGCCAAGTAACAACCCTTATGTATTTGCAGTGCTGCTAGTTAAAAAGAAAGACAACACTTGGCGTTTCTATGTAGACTATAGGCACCTTAATGATTTGACAATCAAGGATAGGTACCCCATACCCAACATTGATGAGCTCTTAGATGAATTGTATGGGGCCAAATTCTTCTCAAAAATTGATCTGAGATTAGGATACCATCAAATCAGAGTAAAATTGGAAGACACACACAAGACTGCTTTTCAAACTCACCAAGGTCATTATGAATTCTTGGTGATGCCTTTCGGATTAACAAATGCACTTGCAACATTTCAAGCCTTAATGAACCAGGTGTTTGAACCTTTCCTGAGGAAGTTTGTTTTGGTGTTCTTTGATGATATTTTGGTCTACAGCACTAGTTTGGAACTTCATAAAAAGCATCTGCATCAGGTGTTGGAAGTGCTCAAACATCATCAACTTTATGCCAAGCTCTCTAAGTGCTCTTTTGCTCAGTAGGAGGTGGAATATTTGGGGCATGTAGTCTCCAGCAAAGGGGTAAGCATGGACATGAACAAGGTATAATGTATTTTGTCCTGGCCTACTCCTAAGTCTGTTAAAGAGCTTAGAGGATTCTTGGGACTTACAAGATACTATAGACATTTCATAAAAGGATATGGAGTAATCAGCAAGCCACTAACAAACTTACTCAGGAAGGATGCTTACAATTGGGGTGCAGAAGCTCAAAAGGCTTTTGATCACCTTAAACAAGCTATCAGCAGTGTTCCTGTGCTGAGGCTACCTAACTTTGATATCCCTTTTGTAGTAGAAACTGATGCCAGTGGACAAGGCATGGGGGCTGTACTATTGCAGGAGGGACACCCTATAACATTTATCAGCAAAGCTTTTTCTCTTAGGAACATGGGGTTGTCTGTCTATGAGAAAGAACTGATGGCATTGGTTTTTGCAGTCACTAAATGGAAGCATTATTTGGTAAGAAATCACTTCATTATCAAAACAGACCATAAATCACTGAAGTTCTTGTTAGAGCAAAGATTAACCACTACTGCTCAATACAAATGGCTAACAGAACTGTTGGGATTAGACTATAAAATCTAGTATAAGAAGGGCTCAGAAAACACAGTTGCTAATGTTTTTATCCAGGAGGGCTGTTCCTGAGTCCATACCTGAGCAGCAACAACTCATGGCACTAACTACAGCTCAGCCTGTATGGATGCAGGAATTACAAGACAGTTATTTTGAAGATAAACAGTGCCAAGACTAATTGAGCCAGTTATTGTTGGATCCAGAGCCACAAGGTTCTGATTTTCGACTCAACCAGGGGATACTTAGGTATAAAGGGAGGCTGTATGTGGGGAACAGTCAAGGGATCAAACATAAAATAATCAGGACACTGCATGAGTCCCCTATTGGAGGTTATTCTGGCCAAAGGGCATGTGTACAGAGGGTGCAAAGTATATGTTATTGGCCAGGAATGAAGAAGGACATCATCCAATTTGTGCAAGGGTGTGAAGTAGGGGTGTCAACGAATCGAGCTGCTCGCGAATAGTTCTCGAGCAGCTCGTTCAAATGATCGGCTCGAGCTCGGTCAAATCGAACTTGAGTCGATCTCGAACTATTCGAATATTCCAACGAATCGAATTCGAGCTTAAAAATGTTATGTTCGACAAGCTCGCGAGCTTTTCGAGCTTAAGGTATATTTAAATATATATAATTTTATATTTATAAAATTACTTAAATATATATAGTTGTAAGCTTAATTACATGTTGTACCTATTAAAATTCAAAATATATTAGGGGTATTCTTGTCTTTCCAAATAATTCTAAAAAAAAAAGAAATTCACATATTAGACTCTAATTAGGTCAAGCAGCTTCAATTCTTGTCCGCCGTCTTCTTTCTTTCAACAAATCGAGAGCTTCCTCACCTCAGTGGCTCAGTCCCTGTTCCTTAATCCCCATTCCTCACCTCAATCCCTAATTCCAATTTCAAATCAAACCCATTTGGGTTGCTAACTCTAGCAGTCCAGCCGTTTCATTTTGCTGTTGCCAACTCCACCCATTTGTTGTCAAATCAAACCCATTTGGATTGTGCAGCCGGTGCAGCCGTGCGGCGTGCGGAAGCTTGGATCTTGAAGCAGGTGCAGGCGTGCAGCAGGTATTTCTTGAAGCTTGGATCTTGAGTTTTTCTCTTCCCTTCTGCATTTCTTTGATGACTATTGGGGCTAAAAATACCGAAACGTAGTTGGTTGTAAGACTAAGGGTGCCTTATGCCCAAAAGCTCAATGATACACAAGCTACACCTTTTCTGAATATTTCTTTCATCTATGGTGATCAGTAGCTGCAACCATACAGTTAATTTGAATATCATGTTAATTAAGTTGTGGGAAGAATTTGCAATGGCTGAATTCAGAATTTGGTGTTTTCAATGATTTAAATTATAATGATTGAAGGATGAATATATTTATTTGGAATTAATTTCTAAAATGATTTATTATACCATTTGAAACATGAATAAATTTCTTGGAAGGATTCAAGAAGATTTAACAAGTAATTTATCAATTTATGTGAGTAGAAGACTTTTTTTTTTAATAATCATTATGTGTATTAAAACACTTGTAACATGCTGTAAGGGTCCAAGTATTTAAATCTAAAATATGTTCCCTTCAAAAAACTTGCGCCGAAGCTTTGTTTCCAGCAGAATGAGGCATCCAACAATTCAGTAACTTGTATATTTTGCAACTAGCGTAAATCTAGAGGTCTATATATAATTGCGTACTCAATTTTTTGAAAGATCAAATATATGTTGATAGGGATGTACAATGATAAGATGGTGATGAAATGGTTATGTTCTAACTTATTATTATTATTATTATTATTTTGCAGAAAGTGAAGGCAGCAAAAGAGATTCTACTTCCCATAAAATGAATGTGATAATTGGAAAGGTATATTGTTTGTATTTAATATTTTGATTCTTCTTCAAACATCTTATTTTAGATTTTACCGCTACTATTTAATTACCTAAATTATTTATTTTATGTAGGGCCTGGAGTTGAAAATTTGGAATCCATAAGCAAAAGCTGGAAAAGATTATTGTGGAATGGACAACATGCTACTGTCTTTAATTGCAAAATTTGTTTCACATTTTTAATTTGAATGTTGACACTTTGGCTTTGTTTTTCCTGTTTGTGTGACTTGGTGGATGTTGGTTGTGTGACTTATCTTTGAATTTGGATGTTAGATTTGATGTTAAAATACGGATGAATTTGGATATTGGTTGGCATAATGGTTGAAAAGTGTTGACAATTTGATTGATGCTTTGGACTTTAAATTGGTACTTAAAATTGGTTTGTCTCAAACCAGTTTATCATATGGATGAGTTTGGATTTTGAAATTTTTTATTTTGTAAATTTCTGTGGGAATGCTTGAATTATCGAATGCAAATGACAGATGAAAAGACTGAATGAAAGAGCAAATTTTGCTTGCTAAGAATAGCAGATTGTTTGGTTCAGTTTAGACTTTTATAAATGAGCACAGTATTTAATCGAGCTCGAATTCGAACTCGAGCTCGAGTTCTAAATCGAGCCCGAGTTCGAATTCGAGCTCGAACACATATTCGAGCAATTTCGAGCATGAGCCCGAGCCTCACGATTTTCTTACGAATCGAATTCGAGCATGAAAAATTGATATTCGTCGATCTCGAGCTTTAGACACTTTGTCGAACTCGCACTCGATCAACCTACTATTCGAGCTCGATTCGATTCTTTGACACTCCTAGTGTGAAGTCTGCTAGAGGAATAAGCGTGAACATGTACCATACCCAGGACTGCTACAGCCTCTTCCCGTACCAACCCAAGCTTGGTCACACATTACCATGGATTTTATAGAGAAGCTACCTTGTTCCAAAGGATTTGACACTACCTTGGTAGTTATAGACAGACTCACAAAATTTGGTCATTTTGTGGCTCTTTCACATCCCTTCTCAGCTACACAGGTGGTTTAGATTTTCTTGGATCACATTTATAAACTCCATGGTCTGCCTGAGTCTATTATAACAGATAGGGACAAAATCTTTACCAGCAAGTTCTGGCAAGAGTTATTTAGGATGGCTGGGACTGAGTTGCACTATAGCTCCTCCTACCACCCTAAGACTGATGGCCAGAGTGAAAGGCTAAATCAATGCCTAGAAACTTACTTGAGGTGCATGACAGGGGAAGCTCCAACTCAGTGGAGTCAATGGCTAAGCCTAGCAGAACTGTGGTACAACACTTCTTATCACACTAGCTTAGGAGTTACTCCATTCGAGGCTCTTTATGGTTATAAACCACTGTCCTTGCCTATAGGCCCTTATCATGACACAGTAACACCTGCAGCCAGCAGCATGCTACGGACCAAAGGTTAGATGCTCCAAAGAATCAAGGAGCATTTGTATCAAGTACAGAACAGGATGAAGGTCTTTGCTAACAAGTACAGGACAAAGAGACAGTTTGAGATGGGGGATTGGGTTTTCCTTAAGCTACATCGATATTGCCAGCAATCTATAGCAATCAGGAAGAATTTGAAGCTGGCTGCTAAATTTTTTGGCCCCTTTCAGATCATAGAGAAGGTCAGTGCTGTAGCCTACAAGCTCCAATTTCCAGCAGAAGCTAAAATACATCCAGTGTTTCATGTTTCCCTCCTTAAACCTAAGTTGGGACCTCATCAGGCTACTAATCCTACACTACTAGAGTTTGACTGTCATGATCAATGCGTTTTGAAACCTGTTGCAATCTTACAAAGGAGAGTCATCATGAGGAATTCTACTCCTGTTATCCAGTACCTCATCAAATGGCAACAGTTAGGAGAAGAGGAAGCCTCTTGGGAAGATCAATCTTTCATCAACAGCTAATTTCCAGACTTCCAACCTTGAGGACAAGGCTGCTCTTTAACGGGGGGATATTGTCAGGAGTAGGGGTTTACTTGAAAAACTATAAAACTGCTAGGGGCTATTAGTACAATTACCGCGTGGAGCCAAAAGTAGTTAGAGGAAGTTGTAACAGAATTTGGAAAAGTTAGTTAGTTAGTTGCATGCAGTATACTACTGCTACTGGCACCGACTTATTGAGTGTATAAAACTCCAAAATGTGTAGAGATCTGATAAGAAAATTTATGCAATCATTCTTCCAAAATCCAATATTCTTTCTTTTCCCTCCCTCCCTCTCTCTCTCTCTCTCTCTCTCAGTTTCTTTTTCTTCTTGGTTCATCTTCCTACCAGCCATTCTGTTAATTCTTCCTTGATTCCCCGGGGCCTGACATGGGAGGGGTACCCAACCCGCGCCCAACCCTACTTATAATTGGGCACTTGGCTAGAGTGGGCAGACTCGTGTCCTTATCAATTTGTATTGCTAACTAGTTGGGAAAGATTAGGAAAGATCATATTCTTTTCCTGGAAGAAGTAGGACTCTATTTCCTTTTAAAAGATTGATAAGTAGAAATGCAAGGAAGATTGGGGCGGATGTCTCTTGCTTTTAGTCAGCCATCTATATTCGCACTTAAGTAGCAAACTTCTCTTTTCTTTTGTTCTCTTATTGAGGAATGGAGCATGCAAATTTTATCAAGGAATTTGCGTGGATTGTTCCCATTGAGAAACAACTAATTTTCTTATTCTAGTCAAGAGATAACTAAGGATTTGATTCAATTACAATTGTGAGATTGAATTGTTGTTATTTGTTTCTTTTTTTTTTTTTAGTGTAAGCAGGAGGACTCAAACCCGAGACCTCTTGCTTACACTCCCTCCTCCCGTACCACCCAATCCAACCCTCCCCCTGGTTATTTGTTTCTTTTATTTATTAATATTCGTATATTTTTTATTCAATTTCTTATGGTTATTTTGTTGTTTGAATATCAATGGTCTGATATTTAATTCAACCTAATAATCTAATGCTAATTGAGATAGATTTAATTATTTAATTATTTTAAATTAGTGATAACTAGCATGATTGGTTTCATGTTAGGAAAATATACAACGTAATCTAAATAAACTCTTGTAGCGTGTTTATTGATTTGAATGACTTTTTTAGTTTTTAATGCAATTAGGAAATTAAATCTGATGGTCATACCTAGGGTTATTTATTGGTTAGAGAAATAGTTAATGGACGTATCTTAACTATCGACATGGTAAGGAAAAGTTGATTGTCATCGCTTGTTTGAGAATTATAATTTATTTATTAATAATTAAATGAAATTATCATTATATCAATGGCCAGTTGTGTGAACCACTTCTGAAGTCTCCTCCTTGGCAGAGCTTGCTTATTATTGATTTAATTTTAATTTTCTTTCATTTGATTGATTTTACTTAAGTTGATTATTTATTTTAATTTTCAAATCCCCTACTTAATTCTTGCTTGGAAGGAAACAAATTTCCCCCAATCCTTATGGAGATGACCCTACTTACCATTGTACTCAATTATACATTTTTTTGAGTAGGATTTTATTATTACACAGATTTGACACCTGTCAAAAAGCAATTAAATATATAGAGTCAAAGTATAGTAATTCATACTTAAGTTATTATGAAAACATTAAGTCTAAGGATCACTTACGCAAACTTCATTTAGAGATTAATCCTTTAACACTTTAAAAATATCTCGACGCAGATGATTTTATTGAATTTGATCACTTTATCAAGAACTCATATACTAGTTTAGATATCTTATATCATAATAAATGAGGTCTACTACTTCTCACATAGTAAAATTATACTATATGCTAGTTTAATCGTATTAATAATGTTTCATATTATTAATAATTTGACTAAAGATTTTTAAAAATAAACTCTAGGTATGATCAAATCAACCTTACCATAATAATTCCCAATTTCATTGATTAAATTTATTCTAAAGATTTTATCGTACAAATATTAAAATATAAGCAATAAATATAATAAAAATGCCATTTATTATTATATAAATATTTTAAGCACATATCAAATGTGACACCCCATAAATTGAGCCTTCTTAATGTCGTGATAAAGTTTTAGGACTCACATTTTATCAATGGACCTTCCTTTTTTTTCATTTAAACCATTCCAAATGTGTCTAGTTATTTAAAATCTAATATCTAGAGACCATTTATTTCTTTAGTTTATTCATAAAAAGGGAAGGGCTACTTGGTTAAATTCTCAAATGCTCAAGTTAAAATATCCTTCATCTTCTTGGGCACTAATAGTAATTCTAGAACTTTTGGCTTTTATTTTAACATTCTCTATCAACTTGATGCTACAAAAAGTAATCAGATTGTAGATGAAATCAATAATTTTGTCCGTGCAAGATGTGTTTCTGTTCCTGAAGCTATGTGTCAAATCTTTGCCTTCGATCTGAATCAAATTCATCCCTTTGTGATGATATTTCAAGTTTATTTAGAGAACATATAACCTATAGCATTTCTAGAGAATAGATTACTATCATTAATCTAAGTATGTCAAGAATCATGCTAACGAAATCTTTTACTAGGAATGCACATTAGATCATGTTAAGATGCTTAATTGTTTATATATTGAGTTTCCTGAGCATTTCACATGGAGTGTTCAAACAAAAAGCTGGCACCATCATCAACATAAGGAAACAATTGGTAGAATTCTTAGTGTTCATCCATCAAAAGGTGAAGGATACTGTATTAGGATATTATTAATGCATATTAGGAAACTAACCTCATCCAAAGACTTAAGAACTATAAATGGATTCACTTGCTTAACCCGTAGAGATGTTACAAATATGTGAAATCTTTTATAATCAGATAATGTAGCTGAACTATGTCTTGAAGAAGCAGTAGTATATCAAATGCCATCCTCTATCACAACAATCTTAATATACAATAATCTAAAAATTACCTCAAGAATTATGGCTTAAATTTGAAGATTTATTATCAAAGGATATCTGACAACATAGATCATTTAGAGAAGGTGCAGTTCAGATGAAAGTTTTACAAATCATTGACAACTATTTATGCTACAGAAGCCAATAAGCATTAGTAACCAAAGAGATTAAAGTAGAAAGAAATATAATTGTATCTGATGATGATATTTTAGCCATTGATTCCTTAAATGAGGATAAAAAAACAGCTTTTAACAGAATATTATTTGTTG